GTGAAGCCCCAGAGCACCTGTAATACATTGACGGCATCATCGTATGGGGCAACACAGCAGCAGAAGTCTCTGAGAAAGGGATGAAAATAGTCCAGGTCCTTCTGAAAGCCAGTTCTGCTATAAAACAAAGCAAGGTCAAGGAACCTGCACAGGAGATCCAGTTTTTAGGAATAAAATGGCAAGATGGGCGTCGTCAGATCTTAATGGATGTGATCAACAAAATAACAGCTATGTCTCCACCAACTAACAAAAAGGAAACAGAAGCTTTCTTAGGTGTTGGGGGTTTCTGGAGGATGCATGTTTCAAACTACAGTCTCTCTATCAGGTGACCCAGAAAAAGAACGATTTCAAAGGGGGCCCTGAGCAACAACAAGCTTTTGAATAAATTAAACAGGAAATAGTTCATGCCGTAGCTCTTGGGCCAGTCTGGGCAGGGCCAAATGTAAGAAATGTGCTGTACACCGCAGCCGGGGAGAACAGCCCTACCTGGAGTGTCTGACAGAAAGCACCAGGGGATACTCAAGGTCGACCACTAGGGTTTTGGGGTCGGGGATACAGAGGACCTGAGGCCCGCTACACTCCAACGGAGAAAGAGATATTGGCAGCATATGAAGGGGTTCAAGGTGTTGAAGCTACTTTTTTCAATTCTCTCCCCCATCCCACTGAGGATGGGGAGTGAGTGAATGGCTGTGTGGTTGTTTTAGCTGCCTGCTGGGTTAAGTCACAACAACTTGTGAGGCATTAAGATGTGCTCCCCATTTTTAAAAAATCTATATTTGTGTAAGTATATGTGCGAATACAAGTATAAATAAATATAAATATAAATATAAAGTATAAATATAAATACTCCTGCATTTAAACTGTACTTTTTGGGGGGGCAAAGCCTTCAAGAACTAAAATGGTTTTTGACTGAAGGGAGCTTTTCTGAAGCATCAGAATACATTAATATGTATATGCAAATAAACATACCTGCCTAGCTTTGATCACTTCATACATTTCCTCCTATATATTTCACCTTTCTGCATGCCTTAGCTCACAACCCACTACACTCTGAAGGAAAATGCTGTCAAAAGAGTCTTCTCAACAGCCACTTGGACTGTGGCACTCCCCAGTTGAAATGCTATCTCTGGCATTGCTGTTCTGTACAGTTCCAGTTTCTTGTTCTCTGCTGTTAATTTTTAGTGGAATTCATTATCCTCAGCGAAGGAAGGATTTCTTCTGGTCCTATGGAGGATTGATCTGAATCCGAATATTTGTGGGGATCACATACAAAACCAGTAACTGCTAAATTTCTCAAGTTACTTCTGAGCTCTTTGTGAGGACTTAAACCAACAGAGGAATAATATAGGGTCAAGCAGTTTGCAAATGGGCCATTTAGAAATGGGCCATTTGGGTTTCACATTTATACTGACTCTGAGTGTTTGGAATCAGTCCAGAAGACTGTTATTGTTGTTGGTTTTTCCCTCTTTGTACATCTCCTCTGTGGCTTTGAGACTTACCCCCAAAAGTTGTCTTTTTCTCTCCCCACATCCTAGAGATTGTCCTTCCCTTTACCACTGCTTTAAAACCTATACTTTGCAATAGGTTAATATTATATGTTGTTTGGGAAAGAAATGTATAACTGGAAGGTTTGGAAAACAAAAGATGTTACTGTATCTAACTCCAAGTCACACATTCTCATCTCCCAGGAATATTTTAGTTCCTAAATGCCTTCCTCAGTCCAGGGAAATGCCAGGTTGCAGTAGTTATCTAGTCATTTTGATGCAGACCTTAAGGCTGCAAACATAACAAACATCTTTTTCTTAAAATATAGCAATAAAAGAGAAGAAAAAAAAAAGAATAAAGAAAGAAAAAAAGAAAGAAAAAGAGACAAATAGTTTTGTGGCAGTTTACATCCAGAAAAAAAAAGAAAAGTTTTTGAAGAGATAGTTGCAGATATCTTTGGTCTTCCATATAGAAGCTTGCTAATCACACAGCAAATAGTGTGGCTTCTTAAGCAGTGTTTTTTCCCTCTATGTTATGTCAGAAGCTCATCACTTGAAAATCTCAAATCACTTTGTAAGTAACACCTGGCTGCACAAAAGAAGCCTAACCAGAAGTCTATAAACCCTGGATGAATCTTCCTACAGTTTTCTATGACTTAGGACCTAAAGTGTCTTTTTTTTTTTTTCTTTTTTCTAGGTGATCACAGCATCTATATTGGGATTTGTATAAACTCAGAAAGGAATTGAAGTCCTGGCTCCCAAATCTCCCAATAAAGCCCAGCCCTGCATCTGAACAGGCATGCCTTAGCTGCTGTTGTATAGCATGAACAGGAATGACATGCCCTACACACAGATATGTTGACGTATGAAAACTACATGGTGTACGACTGCATGCTGCATTCCAAATGCAGGCATCTCCTTCCCCAGGTTCCAGCCCAAGGGGCTGTTTCAAACCTCTGCTGTTCCGTGTGCCTGGCCCTTTCCCTGGGGCAACCCCTTAATAACACAACAGCAAGCACTTCTTCCCACTTCCCCAGCTCCAGCCACCCTGCTCTCCACTTGAAGGCTGCAATACCTGCTTCTGCCGCTGTTCCTATGTCTCTTCTCATTCCACTTATGTCCACCCTATGATCCACTGTAATAAATGCAGCTTCAGAAATAATTCTAGCAACTTCAAATACAGCTAGAAGTCCCAAGTACACAAGACACAGTACCAGCTATTCCCTTCAAGGACTGCCTTTGCCAGCAATGGCAATATAAAAGCTGTTCTTTGCAAGATGCTATGACGTCTTCAAAAGAAAGCAACTTTTCAAGGCCAAGCACTGGCACAAGCCATGTTAAAGTGAAGCCGACAAGTGAAGTTGAGTTCCAAATCACTTTTTGTTTGGAAACTTGTCTACAGGTTTGAAAATATAAACCAGTGTCGGGCTGGTTTACATACTTCATTACTACACTACAAAAAGAAAAGTCATCACATAAATCCAGAACCAAGGATAATTCCTGAGAAGAGAGGAAAATGTGCAAGATATGAAACACATTTAAAAATGTTATTTTGCGGCTACTGATAGAACATGCCTGCAAACTCACAAGAGATATCTTAAATACTGCTAGAGGAGGGAGCAAATGAAATGCAATTATTTCTTGAAATGTAAGTTCAACAGAGAACTGCTGGAGATAGAATTGACTTTTTTTTTAAAGCTGCTTTGGAACACACTGAATTTAATCATCACTCATCTGGGGGGGGAATGGTGAGGAGAGACTAACTTAATGGTTCCAGTTTGACAGATGTATACAGTGACCCAAATTCTGCACTTAATTACCCCTCTTGGCCTTTCAAAGTTGCAAACATAAGGTCATAACTTATTTTTCTCTGCATACCAGGGAACAGTTTAGTACTTAATGAAACCTTAAACATACACACTCAATTCAACAAGCCCTTGGAAATCCAGCTGTCTGAATTACCTTTACAAGTAAGGGAACATATTGGAGTTTTACTTTGGAGTCAGTATCTTTAAGAAAAGATTGTTTTGCTTAGCCTTCCTGAACTATGTAATTGCAGAAAGTATTAAAAAATGGTCTTCAGGTATGATTATAGCAAGACAAACACTTTTTGGCTGGACAGTCAAGGAAATGTCTGGGAGAAAGAGACAACTTGTTGAATGTAAATACTGACCTGTGGAAATCAGCCTGATAAGAGGTCATGTCATTAATATCAGGTTTCCAACCCTCTATTTTCCCAGTGAGAGATTTAGCCCTACTTAAAAACTTGGCATCATATTATAATAATTGCAGTCTCCAGAAATTTAACCTGAGAGAAACCCACTAGAAAGTGAAATGGTATCCTAGTAAAGTGATAACAAACCTTGTTTCAATTTTTCATCAGAAAGGTATGTGTCAGATTGCCACAAGGATGACAAAACATCAGGCTTGCCACTGTTGTCTAAATTTATTTCTGAAAGCCTCATGAAGGATAAAAATCCCATTCAGATATCTGTATAGTCAGTTGAAAATTATAATGTGATCAAAATGAGAAGTAAAGTGGGTACCCTCCATCCCAGAACCTTTTCAAATCGCAAGAGACTTACTCATGCAGCAATTTTACAACAGCGGAAAAAGCCTTTCTTAGGAATTAATCTGTTTAGTACCACAACAGACAGGAATGTGTGTCTGCAGAGAGTTTGGTATACTAGACCAGACTCTTAGCTAATGGATGTTTTTGTAAATATTTAAAGCCAAGTCATGGATCTCCCCTCACTAGCAGTTTCCCTAAACTTCATAAAGATGAAAGGTATGCTTGAATTTGACTTTACTGCTACAGAGGAAGTATATATATAATTTAGACTGGCGCCAGGTGTGGGTTTTAGTGATAAAAACTCCCTTCTTTTTACATCAACAATAAACTTAGTACTTATTCATAACAATGTTAAACTGTAAATTGTACACATCCTTTTTTTTTAAAAAAAAGGTGGATTTTAAACAGGAAACAAAGAAACAGCAGAGGTAGACAAGCCAAATAAGTTACGGTATCATAAATGCAGCCCAATGACCTTAATCATAATCTAAATTTGCTATCAATGCATGCACAGTAATAAAAAAAAGAAGTCATGAATAACATGTTTCCCCCCAATAAAACCATTAAAGTGCTCTGCCTTAAATTCAGAGGGAACTATGGCCCCACATTGCAGAAATTCCAAATTCCTAGACTTGTCTTCTCTAAAGATTAACACAAAACAGATGACAGTTTCGATCCTGCCATGATATGAAGTTGTGATACTACGTGGGGCAAACAAGCAGTACCCATATTGAACCCAGGTGCCCAGAACCTGTTGTCTGTGCTCTCTATTGTATATAGAAGTCATGTAGAGTAGATAGGTAGGAAGCTCATTTTCCCTTGCCGTCCCACCCCAGGTTACCCAAGAAAGCAAATTCTAGTCACCTTGCGGATGTGCTCCTGTAGTCCCGTGACCCCGTACATCCTCAGCACGAACCAGAGCTTCAGGGATCGGAACCTCCTTCCCAGGGGGATTTGCCAGTGCTGCAAGCCAGGAAGAGGGGAGGACACCCATGTTAGAAGTCATCATTGCAGTGATACTGCAGAAATCGTGCATTCTGCAGTGATTTTGAAGCGTACTGCATTGCCACATTCTACAGGCAGTTGCTAGAGGTGGGTCAAATGATAACAGAAATGTCTATTTCTGGTTAATGCCCTGATGTAACATTTTCAAAGGAAAATTGGAAAAGGAAATTGGTGTCAGAATGGAAGGGTCACAAGGCAAATAAAATTTTCTTTGTCCATCCTGAATTCTCTTTGGAGGCTTTGGAAAAATAAGTATCTTAGAAGCTCATGTACGCTGGCTTGCTTACAGTGTGGGGCTAGCATCTGCAATGACAGGCCCATTTTCCATTTGAAAACAACAGGGTTTCTATTGGTTAAAGGTTAAGACACAAGTGCATTTAAAAAAAAAGTATTATTCACTATGTTAAGGAAAAGATATCTTTAGGACATGTCTTTCTACTGCTTAAATCTTGAGATATTACGCATGCAAGATGATTTATGCTTGTAAACATTTTTTTAAAAAAAAAAAAAGAGTTAAAAGTTTCAGCTTGAGGAATGTTAAAAATTTAGCAAGATAAGAAACATAAGGTTTTGAGGTTTATGATAGTAATAGAAAATAAAAGTCCTTGAAATATCAGTGCATACAAGTAATAGTATTAATTATTACATTGATGCTATACTTACCCGATAATCTGTTACAAGGCCTGGAAGTTAAAGAAAAAATGTTTACATTGTTTCATCACAACAGCCAAAACCTACAATCATTGTAATGCTATTGAAAAAGCTGTATCTTAGCTATCCTTTATGTGTGCTACAAACTTCAGCATCATCAGTGCTGTCAACAGGACCACCAAATACCTAGTAGGATACTTGACAGCATGCTAAACGAAGGTGCTCGTAGTAACCTAGCTTCATTCCTTACCTAGTCAGACTATCCCACTAACAAATTAAACAGTTTTCAGGAGAAGGAACACAATTTTCCTTTCTGTTATACTTCAGATGCTCTGGAGATGATGGACAGTTTGCAGAATCCCCAAACTCACTTCATCACTTACTCTCTGCTTCTAACTGCCTTTTATATTCATTCATATATTTGTTGCTAATTCTTCAGCATGTCTAATAAATTACTCCAAAATTTGATCTCTTCCTGTTTGGAGAATAGTATTCTGTGGGTTTTTATGGCTTTTCATTTGATGTAGTGAAAGCCCCTTACAAACACAGATTGACCAAGCCGAAAAGCAGTCCAGGGAGGCAAGTAGAGGGCGTTATTAGTTATCTTTTATATGAGTGCACAGAGTCAAGATGCATCTACTTTTTCTTTGAATCAGGTAATTACACTGATTTCACAGTAAACTGTAACACAAAGCCAGATTATATTAGGAAAAACTTCTTCACCGAAAGGGCTGTCAAGCACTGGAACAGGCTGCCCAGGGAAGTGGTTGTGTCACCATCCCTGGAGGTATTTAAAAGACACGTAGATGTGGTGCTTAGGGACATGGTTTAGTGGTGGACTTGGCACTAAACCGTTAGGTTTACGGTTGGACTTGATCTTAAAGATCCAACCTAAACGGTTCTATGATTCTATGATTACTTGCAGTAAGTCAGTCGGTGACAAAAATAAAACTGACCTAAAATCTAAAGCACTTCTTTAGGAAAGTGTGCAAGCATCTGCTTAGCTTTCTTATTCTGCTTTATTATTCTGTAGTGGAGTATAAACTCCTTAGAAAAGTAGGTACTTAAATTCCAAGGAAAAGTGCTAAATGCTCCTGGAATTATGAACTGAAAGGTATTGTATAGAACTGTAGCTTCTGAATTTGATCAGTTCACATAATTTACGTAATTCTCAGCCTTTGTATTTTCTGAGGGTAAAAAGACTGTATTTCCTGTGTTAGCTCTCTTGCTAATGTTCTCTCATCTATGCAGCCAAAACATAAGAAAAAAACATGGTCCTTCCTCCCTGCAACATATAACCATTTGGTTCTTTAACCTGTTACTAGGTTATTTTCCAGATTAAAAAAAACCCAAACCAACAACAAAAAACCACAACAAAACAAAACAAACCCAAAACCCCACAACAACCAACAATCGTTAACCTGTTCTTGGACTTCATGAAATTAACATGGTTGTCTCAGGTTGATAATGAGGTAACTTGATAACATTCATGTTCTTCTGCCTCGTAGCAGCCATTTTTATTTGATAGCTGCAAGACTGGTAGCAAAGAGAGTAAAGCAACTGGTGATAGATAAATAATCCTACGCTCCTGTAAGGGGCTATGTCTAATGATCCACAACAACGCCTTTCACAAGCTGTGAAGCAGAATGCAAGCAATGATTAGTCCTTGATTACAAGCCTTAGTCTTACATCTGTATTTAACCAGGAGGAATTGCATTGTGGGAGTATATGTGGTATTCACAACAGAGCAGAAAGCTGCATTCTTCTAACACTGCCGTTAGGATCTGACCTGTATCCTGGGTTGCCAGGCAAGTTAGTGTAATCTTCCTGGTGTGATGATGCAAATCACATAAAATTATAATTAATGACAAAATAAAGACTTTCCCCTTAGGGTCACACATAATTGCCATATGGTTATTAAGAGTAATTGCTCACAGATTGATATATTTTTCCGCTCATTTAAATTCTTGAGTGAGAGATGAGCAAATTCAAAAACACTACTTTATTTGCCTTGTAAACCATGATGGGAATTCTCAGACCTGAGAAAGTAAGACCCTCCATTAGACAAGTCCTATTTCCAGGAGTGCTGACATCCCATAAAGCACACAGGGATCAATAGGAACTGTAACAGCCTAGCACCTTTGCAAATGTAACTGTTTTTATTGAAGACATAAACGTGGATTGGATTTAACAGTTTAACTAGAGGCATTTGCACTTGAAAAGTGTTGTTCTGCTATTTGGAAAATTGATATCAAATGGGAATAAAGCACAGAAAAAATTAGGATCGCTGGATTGCTAGTAATCGGCTGATCAATTTGGAATCATTATGTCCAGATCACATAATCTACTATCACAGCTTCTGAAGGCAAGATGAAGGCTGAACAATTTCTTATCCAACTGGGGAGATAAAGTTTTCAGGTCAACTAGATGGCCTCACTGAAAGCACCTAGTTTTAAGAAAGGTTTGATTTTCTTCTGATGTTATTTAACCTGGGGAAAACCTAAGGTTATTTTATCAGCACTGTCTGTTTTCACAAGGACGTATTTTCACTTTAGTTAAGGTTGTATTATTTCTCCTCAAGATAAGCATTTTTCATGTGTGTTAAGTAAAAGCTAGTGATGGAAGTATATTTGCTATAACTAGCATTTTTCATTAAAAAAGGCAAAAAAACTATGTATTTTTTCTTAGCAATTCTAGCCTTTGGAGGGTGAACTCTAGCTCCTGAGTTACTACATTTTCCTGTTTATAGCACTGTTCTATATTTGCATTGCTTGGAAAAGTAGAAAAGGAATAAAATACAAAATTTCTGCCAGTTCAGGATAAAGGCATGGGAATCCATTTTTCCTAGGATTTTTTAGTGAATGGTGGAATTCTGAATAGTATTAATTTAAATGTCAATGAGTTCATAGCCATAACAGAGAGAAAAGTACTCAGGATACAGTTCTGAACACAGATCACCACCAGCAATTCCAGGAAAAAACACAAGCTAGAGTAAATGGTAAGAACATCCACATGTGATTCAGCCTCTTGAGAAAGCAATGAGGGAACTTGCACCACATGTTGACACTGCACTACTGTGACCTTGTTCACAATTAATCAGTTGTTAACCAAATGTGTAAAAACAGGCTTCAGGATGGCAAATGCTACTCTGCAGTTGCTAGGTATGTGCAAGGAGCAGCACTAATCCATTAAGGAGCTTTGTACAGGGCCTGTGATTTGTAAGTTCTTTGTGAGCATTTTGTACAAGGCTGATAGATAGCCCGCACTTACCTCGTCCTCTCTAATCAATGTAAGAACACGAGAGCAAGAAGATAATGTCCCAGATAGCTCTCATTCAAAACAGCACAGATATCAGACACAGCTCACCTTTTCTTTGTGGTTTCAGCGGGTTTTTGCTCCTGACATGCGTATTTGGAAATTTGAATCAGAGCTTGAATGTATAGGTAAGAAAAAAGGTCACAGACTTTAGAAACCCTAAAACCAAATTTGATCTAGAAAGCATTCTGGGAAAAGATGTGTTGGGGAAGACAGGTTAAGGGACTTAATATACAGCACCCACTATGTTTATCTGACTACCAAAAGATCCTTAAGAATTTTCTCAACACTCCTACAAAGAGTCAGTGGTAAATCTGGAGCTGGGGAAATCCCAATGCAAAAATATAAATATAATGCTTTATAAAATGGCTTTATATCAATTGCTTTTTTATACCAACTAAAATCTCACTAAATATGTGTTTGCATTTTAATAAGCTTAACTCCTTGGGGCACTTTGAAAATGGATATAGGCTCCTAAAAAACTTAAGTGGTTTTAAGAATTTCAGGTTTCATTTTAAATCCTTTTCTCCATTAAATATCAGTGTGTAAACAAAATAATAATCTCATTTAATTATAAAATTACCAGACTCCTGATGGTGATGCTGCAGGTAAAGAGGTTCTAATTTAAAGGCACCTGTTAAATCTGATCTTTTTTTCACCCTGCATAAAAAAAAAACAAAAACAAAAAAAAAGAAAGAAAATTGAGAAACTTAAGAATTAAAATTTAAGGGATTAAATTTCCACAAGAAGTGAAGGCAAATGGAATGTGTTTAAACTGGCGCATTTCCTGAGCACAGCCGGTGCCATTTTCAGTGCTTTTTCACAGCCATATCAGTACT